AAAAAGCGAATGAAACAGCGTTTAATGGTTGTCAGCTTATTATTATTAAAAAGTATATCCCAGCAGTGGCTTAGAACTCTGTTGTTGGAAGAAATGTTGGGGGGAAAAAAGGGTTAACATACCCAAACTCTCTTAAAAGGTCATCCGGCTAACGTTAGCCTCACACGAAACTCCCTCACAGGATGCAACGTTTAGTCACGTGGTATGACGACAGCAAATTCGTTATCATTTTTGCAACGGTGACATCTAGTGGTCAAATGGTATTAATACACTTAATATATATTTGCAAATGATAGTCACTATCACAAAAAAACATTAAAAATACGCGTGTATAGTCTTTTTCTTCAAATAAAATACATTTTTAAAACTCTCTGCGACCATTCAGGGCTGTAGTCAGCTGAAGCTAAAACCTTTCAGTAAACAGGGTTGAAACTGCTCCGTGGTAAATTAGGGAATATAGTTAGCGCTAAATTACAGACAAACTTTGTCATACATGGTTAGTTGAAAGTATTAAATGTCATTTAAAAAAAAACGATTTTGCCAATTGAGATGAATCAGTGAAAGTAAAAATGATCACTTTAATTATTGCTGAATTGATAATTGGTTGTTAAAAAAACAGCAGAACCCCATTTAATGGAGCTAAAAAAAAAAAGCTAATGGTCAGTAACAGTTAAACAGGTTTGTTACAGATAAACTAGTTAGATAAAGCTCGTCATTTAAAGGTAATTTTTAAAACTGGTCATTTGGAAATAAACGGGTACAAGTCAAATAGAGCTGTAGCTATCAGTTAGTAAAGCTTTAACAGTTAGTAATCGTTCAACGAGACATGGAAAAAAAAAAGCATTAACATATTTATCACGGTAGACAAGACATGCTGATGCTTTCAGGGACAACTCATACCTAATGAGTTGCTACTAATAAACCCAACACACCAAACATGTGCATTATAAAATCTTAAAATAATGATATGAATAATTGATTTGATTAATTTAAGGCATTAAGAAAATGTCCATATTTACAATCACGATTAACCGATCTGTAACACTCGTACGTTAAAAGGTGTACTATTAACTTTACACTCACAACAAAGGTGTCCGTGTGACTATGTTAAGCGTGACTAGTCCACAAACGTGTTACCGAAAAAATGTGTTCATCCAAATATATGTATCACATACAGGAAGTCGGGTGATACGAGAGGACTCTCCTCTACACTAAGAATCAAACAGAAACAAAATACACGTGTTAAAAATACTGACTACATCATCACACAATGTATTCTAGTCTTGATCTTCTTGAGATCTAACTCTGGGTGATTATCATAAATATGTGAGTTGAGTTCTTTTTCTCTCCAAAAGCAGCTTCTCCCATCAGTTGACTTATCCATGAACGTTACGAACTCCTTTTTGATGACATTGTATCAAACACCTGAGGAAAAACGATGTAAAAAAAATAAATAAATGCAGGTCAATATTAATGTCAAGAGCGGCGACAGCAAGTACGTAACAGCCTTGAATGCAATCAAACCTTTGTTCTTCTTCAGAATAAACTGCTTGGTCTTCTTCTCTAGTATGTTGGAGGCAGTGCAGGCGTAGGTTCCTGGGAGCAGCGACGAAAAACTGAGAAGCGCTTCGTCCATCTTCCCCTCTAGGGGCTGTGGGGTCTGCCAGCTGTAGACAGGAGCAGGGTTTCCTGTAGCCGTGCAGTTCAGAGAGATCTCAGCCCCCGGTGTTGGTACTTCCAGGTACTCTGTTTCAGGGTTGAGGAACGATGGGGGAACTAAAGAGGAAATTAGAGAGGAAATGTGTGTTGTGAACAAGTGGAACTCAGACTTGTTGAAGGATGATTCAATTTTCAAAATAAAAACATCTTTCAGACTGACTTCTGTTAGTATCAGAGTCTGAACGACCTGATTGTTTTGAAACACTGACCGATTAGCTTTAAATGAAAAAAAGTAAAGGGATATGACTGGATTTTTTTTTTTTTGGGAATTAAGTATATACTGAAGTACATTTTTTCCCACTGTGTCCTACTGCGGCCCGCTTGTTCCTTTGCTGGGTGACGGGGAGCGCATGAGCCAATCTTCTGCCACGTCTTTAACGTTTGGTTAAGAATGCATTCAAGAAAGTATCATCAAAGGTTAGCTGCGGATTAGTCATGGTTGACGATTACCCGTATTGTCCGGACTACAAGTCGCTTCGGAGTATAAATGGCACCAGCCAGCTACAGTGCCCTCTAGCGGCTGTCGGTGTGAAAATAACAAATATGGAAATTTTCATCTGTACAGGAGTAGCAGATACTGGGTACACAAGCCTAGAGTGCCCTCTAGTGGCTGTCAGTGTGAAAATAACATACATGTGAAATTATATATTTTAATATATAAGACGCACCCGAGTATAAGTCGCAAACCCAGCCCGAGGCTAAAAAAAAAAGTGCGACTTATAGTCCGGGAAAATACGGTAATCAACAATCTAAATGATCATAATTAATCAAGTTAAAGTGTCATTGCTTAATATGACGAAGACTTTTTTTTACCTCTATGATGGGAATACTGTTTTGAAAAAACTCAAAATTATGGAAAAGTATAACTCAAATCCTACCATAATTATGTAATTTTTAAAAAAAATAAATTGTAGATTTTAGTTAATACTCTGCGTCTTGATGGTGGTAGAATGTGTGGAGAATTATTTTCCAAAATTCCAGTGATGCCGCTCGTTAAAACGTCCGAACGGACGTTCGATTTTATGAAATTTCGACCAGTACCAAACCAATACCGATTCTGAGTTCAGCATCGATGTGGCCCATATTCTGGTTGCTGGGATCAGTAGAGCTACTCATGGTCTAGTCTTGTGCTAGAAGAGCTGTTGTCATTTGTGTCTACGTCAGATGTTCTTAGTGTTACTGAAAAGCCCCCTGGACTCACAGTAGACAGAGGCATTGAGAGGCTCGGAGGCCACGGCAGGAGGGGGTTGCGGCCCCTCCGGTCCGAGCTCCAGCTCTGCCACACATCGGTACTGCGCGTTGTTCTCCATTTTGGTCGGTGTGATATGGAGGATCGAGGACACCTGAACAGGCGAGGAAGACGTGAGGTCGGAGAAGGAGTGGTTGTAAACTTCCACGTCCCCTCTGTACCACCTCAGTGTCAGGTACTGAACTGGAGCCACGTTTTGAACCTCACAGAGGAGCTGGTACTCCTTCCCTGCCACCATCGGTCCGGTGTGGTTCAAGGTCCTGATGGAGACGCCGTCCGGGGTTTCTGTGTTAACGATACACAGGGTACACATTTTCCTTTTGATTTTAGACACAACTCCATTTCTCTGCTAATGACGGCTAGCTAACGTGCAGTTTGATTGCAGATTTTCTGGCCAACCCTTAAATCTTTATGGTTAACGTTGAGCTAATATGTGACCAAATACAAGGGGTCCTCGACTTACGTCCGGGTTTTCCGTTCCTGCGGTTTGCGCAGTCGGTCCGAACTCACATACAGTGCATAAGTAGCTATGTCACTCACCTAAGCTAACAAAGTGGTGACATCATAATCTGGCGTGAAACCTGCAAATGTAACTAAACAACACAAACGAAAGAAAGCGAATGTAGACCATTCCAATATATGGCGTGAAACCTGCAAATGTAACTAACGCTGTATTCCGCGTACAGCGCCACGTAACGACATACTCGTCTGCTCCACCTGCTAACCAGTTCGTTTTAACGTAGTTTATTTAAATGACGGAACAAGAGTTTCTTAATACATTTACGGGAGAGAGAGCGAAGTAACAACGAAACGTCGCAAGTCGAGGACGTCGTAAACCTAGCTAGCTAGCTAAACAAAGCGCAAGCAGGTTTTTTATTTAGCTTTCACTGCATGGGCAGGTTTATGGATCATCCAGAAGATAGATACAGGGGCGATAATGAAGGTTTTTAACACTGAAGTCACAGAATAATAAATGTAAACGACTCCTGATTGATGCGGTGTAAATATTTTGCCTGTCTAATATCTACAATATCCGCTGGAACTGCCTTTATATCTGACTTTTTATTTGCTCATTTAACCATTTAACTGTTTTTTTAGAATTACAGATACCTTGCTTTTACATAAATAAACAACAATAATCATCTTTTAACCCACTACTAGCACTACTGCTACTACATCTCATTCAGCTAATACTACTTTGACTACTAACATACTAACCCAATATACTAATATCCACTTGTATACCAATATGCACTAATATCAACTGTTCAGGTTTTTCTATCTATCTATCCATCCATCCATCTCTCCATCCATCCATCCATCATCCATCCACCCAGCATCCATCTATCTATCTATCCCTGATCCATCCATCATCCATCCATCTATCTATCTATCCATCTATCTATCTATCCCTGATCCATCCATCATCCATCCATCCAGCATCCATCTATCTATCTATCCATCTATCTATCTATCTATCTATCTATTTATCCATCCATCCATCCACCCATGCATCCATCCATCCACCCATGCATCCATCCATCTACCTATCTATCCATCTATCCATCCATGCATCCATCCATCCACCCATGCATCCATCCATCCATCCGTCAATATATCTACCACCTTATACCAGATCCCTGCTGGTATCTATGATTTTGAATGCTTAGTTTTTTGAGTGTCCTGAAAACCTGGCAACCAATGACATTCTTCCATCATCCATCCTGTCTCCTGACCTTACCCACTCGGACGCAAAGAACATGATTTTAATGGCTATGTTTGGTTTCTGAAAAAGCGGCTAACGTACAGATTCTGTTTAGAGTTGATCGGTCCGGTACAGTACAGTAAATACGATTTTTAACTCGTCGTTTCGCACGAGGGGGGGAAAAAAAAAGAGTGGAATCTACTCACTGTAGAGGACAAGGTTGAGTTTTTCCTCACACTGTCTCGGAGCGGTAAAAAACACTCCGTAACAGATGGGCTCCTCTATCCAGTCAATCAGGCTGTCGACCTTCCAGTGGACGGACAGATCCTGCTGGGTGTGCGCAGCGTTGAGGGACGACTCCCAGCCTAGGACTCGCACGGGCCGGGTGGCTTCGCAAGTGACCGACACTGGCTCCCCAAAGCCCACCACAACCCTGGAGGGCTTCAGGATGAGGGAGCAGCCTTCACCTGATGCTGACGCACATGGAACAAGACACAAAAACAAAAACCCAATTTACTGAGGGATCGCCAGAAACCCTTTGGCAACCTCCAGGGGGCTGCGACCTCCACTTTGATAACCACCGATCCAAGAGATTGTTATAGTCCAACAAGTTTCTATAGTTGCCTTTATCGTCACTTTTTGAAGTGGAAATCTTAAAGGTAGAGTGTTTGTGATTTCCATCCATGCATGTTTTGGCGTGCAGAAGCCTCTTGGATAAAAGGTGAAACGTTTTCAAAAAAAACCTACTCCGTCCAGTTGCCCCCGATGTAGCTACTTTTTGATAGGATGACCCGGATGCCTGAGAACCTCCACAAAACATCCTTTAGACGTTATCCTGTTAGCATCAGAGTCTGAATGACCTGTTGTTTTGAAATATCGCCCAGTACCAAATGACCTAGGGTCCTGCACCAGTCCCCGAACCGGTGCTTGGAGACCCCAAGTTCGAGAGTCACAAACATTGGTTGCTGGGAACTGTTAGCATTTTCCTGCAGGTCGGCCATCAGGAGCTAGTCGTTCGCTGATGGCAGACCCGTCGTGACCTTTCATTGTAATTAATTGGTTTTTTTTTTGACAGATCAAGAGAGTGATACTATGGTCAATGTTTGTTTGACCAAAAAAAAAAAAACAAAAAAAAAAACTATAATATTTAGTGTAAAGTTTTCATATCTGTGGTACATGCACGAAAGCGTTGGAGCGGCAGAGCCAGGAATTCGGTGCTACAGTGCCCACCACAGTGCAGTGTCGC